GGAGAGAGAGAGAGAGAGAGAGAGAGAAAGGAGAGAAGCAAGTGGAAAAATGAAGGGACGGAACAAAGAATATACGGGAAAGAAAAGAAATCGGGAAATGTCTAAAGACAAGCGTGACTTTAGGTAGAGAAAAAAGGAATGAGGTGGAAGTATAAGTTCAATGAAGAGAAAAAGCAAAAGAAAAAAAATCGAGTGTTTCTGAGATTATCCGTGAAAAGAAGAAAGAGAATGAAAAGAATTAAAAATTGGTGTCGCGCCGTGTTACGCGTTGCACGATTACGGAAGAGAGCGATAAATGGAAAAAAACGTTTTTTCGTATTTTTTAAATAATTTTTACAATTATTCGATGTTGGTTCGATGCTAAATAACGGTGAAGCGTATTATTGTTAAAGTAAACAATAAAATATTCAACTTTAAATGTAACTTGGCAAATATAAATAAGAAGAGCAATAATTGCAATATAAAATTATCAAAAATTAATCAATTTTTTAATATTTGAAATTATTAGAAAAATAGTATTTCACGTTTCACGTGAAACTTCCTCACTTACATTCTCCTGATACAAAATCAAAATTTTGAACAAAATTTTCTTCACTTATAATAAAAATTTATGTTCTGTATTTGGCGTTATTTATCTGATTCGTCACGATCTATGATCATTTGTTTGTTAATTCGCGCGTCACTTCAATCACATTAATTGATTTTCCGATTGAACGACTGACCCATCAATACAGTCTTTTGACAATTAACGCAATTAACTGTAACAGCATTGCGCATTCCGTGTCGCCAAGTATCAAAAGTGACATCGTTATAAACGAACCGATTATTATCGAAAATAATCCTCTATAAGAGATTAGAGAATAATTCTAATATCAATAGAAGTTGCAAAGTCGGTAGTTGCTTTTGGAACCGGATGATCGATAATTGTAATGTAAGACAAAGTCAATGTTACACTTGGAAACTTCTCTATTGAACGGCACTGGCGCACCATTTGAATCGCAGGATCACGTTGTTGCGGCACGAAATATTCGCTGAACGATCTCTCGACCTGACTCGAGTTGCAAATTAATGCAATCGAGTCTCTTTGAAATAAAACTTGTGAGTGAACTAAGGAAAGAGCTTGTTCTAAGAGATATGTGCTGCTCGTTCTTAAAGAGAGATATTTGTTTCACAGAATGGACGTCAACGAAAACTTCTTTGACGGTTGAACATGGGGATACTGGAACGTGTTAAATTAAAAGAGAGAGGAGTTGGACAGAGACCAAGAAATTGGACTGCGCAAAACCCTAAGTATCTAACTAGGACGAGTGCAAGCAGTGGAAATATCTAAATTAGCCTTAGAGAAAGAAAGAAAGAAGATTCCTTGGAAACCTTATACCTCAACTGGTGTGCTGGAAACGCACGCGTAAAAAACAGATCGTTAAAAAAGGAAGGACAGACGAGTTAACCGACGAGCGAGCGCGCACGATCGAAGGAATGTTTACAAACTTTTGAAAGGAAGGAGAATGGGCATTGGTCAGTGGCGAGTGAATTTTGCGGTAGATATATTTATATGGACGTATTGCGTGTGTAATAGGTCGTAGGGATATAGAGTGGGACGTAACTCAGCATCAGGGGTGACCGGCGAAGCCGAAGCCGAAGCCGTAGCCAAAGCCGGAGCCAGCTTCGCTTACCGTTCCTGTATTTCAGTAATCCCGGCCAACACCGACCCACCGAATACCTCTCCACCTCTATAGATATCCCATACAGAACCGCGCCACAGCCGTTCCACTTGCCAGTTACTTTGAGGTTGAACAACCCTACCTACCTCCCTCTTCGGCTTCGCATCGTTCTCCTGTCCGCTCGGATGCGATACCATCTTAATCGTGCTAATTCGCGCCCACCCATCACTGGCTGACATTCGCTGTACCGTGAGCTGTAGTCGGTAAACGGAGCTTCCGAGGCTTATGCTCCTGCCGTTCTGTCACATTTAATAAAGAGAGTTAATAAGGAATCTATCGATTCCTATCTCAACGTCGGAGATCGTCTTGTTTCTTTTTTCTTTTTTTAGGAACAATCTTTTTTTTTATATATATAAAGAATAGAGCGTCGATCGTTAGAATTAATCGAGGTGATTTGAACAATCGTAAAATTATTGCCTATCTTATTAATTATTTCAGACGTATTAATTTGTAATATGCGAATATGTATCACTTTTGAAAAATTAAAAGAACGTTTGATGTTGATCGGTATAACAAAAATATCTTGTTTCGAAATTGCGATTCTGACTCGTACCACAAAGCGTTAAGTATATCGTGCAAAATGTTACTTATATAGTTTCAAGAGATGATAAGAATAGCGACGATGCAATCAAGTTCGAATAATTGATGCTATAATAAGTTTATCGATATTATGATATAGAAGTACAAACGTTCTTCCTTATTAGCAAACCACGTGAAATGAAAATATATTCCTTGTGTAGTTAAATGTTAATAGAATTTTGTAATTAATTTAATTTTTGTTTAATTCATTTGTTATGTACGACTAATGCGACCGATATAGATAGTGTTGGATAATATTTAATATCGATTAACGATCCAATTTTAATTAAATCAAGGTATAATCGTAATTGACGATTAAAACAGATATTTAAACGCTAATAGGATTTAATTATGACGTATGTAAAAATTCTTCACGTAAAATTAAAATTTGGGAACGTAACATCTTTCTCTTTGTCTTCGAATCTAGTATTAATCGGTCCTTGAATCGTTGAAATCACTTACTTGGTATTCGCATAAAATATTAATTAAAAACGAATTGAACCGATATTTTTAATTAACCTTAATAAATATTAAAAATTAAATATCGACAAATATTTCTTTTAACATTTTAATCTTCGTATCATATTGTTAACATAATTGACGTGAAATTTGCATAAAATTTCAAATTAATCACTCTAATATTTATACCATAATCGGATAAATTGAAGTGGAAAAAAAAATGAAATATTCTCGATCACATCATTACACCGAATTTAAAACATCGAAACGTGCCAATATGATTCGACGAACGAAAAAAAATTAAAGAAAGTCTAAAGCTACTTCTCTATTCATAGCCGGCAGTATCGATGTCAACGGTGTTTCAAACTTCTCACTCAATTAACTCGATCTTGTTTAACTTTTAATATCCCGAAAGGAAAGAAATCGGATCGCTTTAAAAGAAATATTTCAGCAAGTTCGCCATCCCATTACGACATACAATCGGGTCAATGTCTCGCGGCGTTCGCAAGAGGCTGCTACTTCCAGAAGTCCATTTACAAGTCTGACCCCGAAGCGTCGAAGTAGGAAGGCAGGAAAAACGAGAGAAGGAACGAATCCACCTTCCACCCGATGAATCATCTCGAGGAAAAGATTACAGCCTGGGTGTGGGATGATTTCCCGGGCAGAAGGAAGGGCCACTTGTTATGCGGGTGGCACGGCCGGTATGACATTCCTCGCATAATTATTACACTACCGATTTTAGAAGGAACTTTCTTATCTATCCCTGACCGGAATATCGGATTACGACACGCTCCATGGATCTTTCCATTTCCAAACTGTTACTGTCTGAAAAGTGAAGCGAAACTTGAAATATATAAATTCGAAGATTGGTAATATCGGTAAAAAAAAATAAATTGGGTATCCAGTGAACCAGTGTTAGGATGGATTCGTCGAGAGATGGCGCCTCTCGTCGGTATTTTTAGTCCTGAAAAATAAGAGAAAGAACGACGAGACGGTTCGAGCACAAAAAGTGTTTGTTTTTCGGCTGGGATAAATGAAAATTAATGTTCGAATAATTGGAATAAGACGAATAGTGTGTAAGAGAAATATCTGTCGGGTATATGAGATGGTAACTAGTCGAGACAGGATTGATGCTTCGAACCGTGAACGAGCGGGATATAGGTTCCGTCTCCATCCGTCTATAAGCGAATGCATCGGGCACGGTCGGATGAATACGGGTCGTTTGATAAATTTTATGGAACTAAAGAAAAACACAAATACTTTTGCTCAACTACTCCATAGGTGTATTTACCGGGTCCCTATCGTTCGACGTCGATACTTGTTTCTGACAGGTAGCCCGCAGTTATTCAGTCAGCCGATACAAGAACAGGTTATTCGAACGTGCACGTTTCCTCTATCCCCCCCCCCCTCCTCTCCTTTCGATATACCACCAACGTGTACAACGCAAGCTTATGTAACTTTGATATAGTTAAAAGGGGATGAAGTTGCAACCGGATCTACGTACGTACACGCTTCGTATTTTCTTGATTCCGTTCTTCATAATATTTCAGAAGGAATAGATTAATGTTTTTCGTCGCAAACCTAGAAATGTTTCTCGTTGCCGCATTTATCTTTTTTCGTCTCGGACTATTCCATATTCCATGCCAACGACAATCCATCTTTCCGCATCGAAAATAAAATTCAGCTTTATACAGTATATTTACGTTCAGAAATTTCGAACGGTTTTTAATATACGATGTCTCGATGTCGAGATACATTCGATCTATGTTTTTAATAATTAATTTTATTATTCGAGATTTTTCGAGAAGAAATTTATTAATTCTTATAGATGGAAGGAATAGATTTAGATATATTTTGTCAAAGGAAGTACGAGTTGATTATAAATTGATCGCCAAAATTAATCGATATGGAAAATATTCAATTTAAACGTGATAAATGTTACGTTTGTGCGATTTATCGTGGAGGGGGAATCGAATGGCGGAACAAATAGGTTGCCGGAAGTTGGAAAGTTCTGGAAAGCGGTTCGATCACCTTCAATTGTTCGGGAGAGGAAGGGAGATGGGGGATACCAAAAGCAGCAGACGCATTCCAAGAACGGAAGAACTGTATAATGTTTCTTTGCTCCATTTAGAGGGATTCCTGGGATGTTGGAGGGACCGATGGTATTTGACTCGCAAAACATCTCTTTGTTCTTCGAGGATACCTTTCCCTGACTGATACGAGACGCGCGAAAAGGCACACGATAGAGTGCCGCTTTTGTACTCGCGGTGCACTTCCGTAACGCGTTTCCTCTATCAACACGGTCTGCCGTATGACCTCGATCGAACGGACAACGAGAATATTTCGCAAAAAGCGACGTTTCACCCTTCGCCACCATTTCAACCATCGGGATTCAACGTTAAATATCGAGTGGTCCAATTGTTAATCACGTTTCAAAATTGTTATTATTGTTATTATAAAATAAGTGAGCACATTGAATGGGAGAATAAATTATATTGAAAGCATAAATTTGTAAGGATTATTTTTTTTATTTAGATTCCGCGCAAGCTTTTATCTTTTGTCTTCTCTTGCTTACTGGGAGGATTCTTTTAATTCAAAAAAAAAAAATTTCTTTATTTATCCTGAATCAAGAACGAATGTGCAATGAAGATAATGAAGTGAAGAAAAATAATATGGAAACTTATTTCTGAAATTACGATATGTATGGAATATATCTTATTAGAAATTTCAGAAGTTGAATAATAATTGAGAATAATTTTTCGCAACTTCGTAATACTTCGATTGTAAATTTCGATTTTAAAAATTGTGCGTCGCGTTGAGGCGACGCCTTGTGTTAATATAGTTCGTGCGATTGCGATTAACTGATGGTACTAGGATCGTACTAGGGAAAAAATATATTTTAAAAAAACGAAAGAAGAGAAGAGAAAAATCCGTCCCGTGCATCGTATCTCCATCGAAACATTTTTATTCCGTCGGATACATATTTTCCAAAACATTGTATATCCAATAAATCCAAATTAACGCGTTGCGAAATAATGTAAAAATTAGGAAAATAACGAAACAATGTGATGTATTTCAATATTTTTCCGTCCTTTTCTTTTTTTTTTTCTTAAGTTCCTTCTTTACACAAGAAAATTAATCGACACGATTTTATCACCACGAAAAAGATTGTATTAAAGCAAGAAAACAGCGATTCGTTGATATATGATAAAAGATAAAAGAAATTATAAAGGGAAGGATGGTTTCACGCAGAAGATACTCTCCAACTTTATAAAACGATTGATGGTAATTATTTTTCGAGGCGTAGATACCGAGGCTTTAATGCGAAAGACGAGGAAACTTGCTCGTCATTGTTCATCGTGGTGTAAAGCCGCGTGCCACAACACGAGGGCGAAACTTAATTCTTGTCACCGTTCGGGAGCGACATTTCTGTTGGTGACATCCTAAGGGTAGTGTGTCGAGCAACGTTGTTCAGGCATTCTTTAACTGGTTTTGAATCTTTCTCGGAAACTTTTCAGTTAGCTCTGTCGGAAAAGGACTCTCCCGAAGTTCGTCAAGCTGGAACGAGGGCATTACCGGTAATAATTTGAGTTAGTAGCAGTGAAATCTTGTTACTTTGCTTTTCCACCACTGTGAATCCTGAGAAGAAACTACGATACGGTATGTTCCCAGCTCGCCTCCAACTTTCCTACGTTCAACTTTGAATATAATTAAAAAAAGAAAAAGAAAAAAAAAGGAGAAGAAAAAAAACGTAAAACTGTTCCTTGGGAAAGAAATTGTTATTCGAGATTAGCTTCGTTTAAAGTCGAGCGTTTATCTGTCTCTCTCTCTCTATATATATATATAAATTTTAACGGTTTAACGGTTAAGGAAACTCTGTTTCGAGAATAGCGACGAAACAAACGCGTGGACTATCGAAATATAAACGTTCTCTCTGTCTTAACAATCCTCTTACGAAAATAAAGATTTTAATCAAATAGAAATGTAGAAATAGAAATAGATTTAATTAAATAGAAATGTATAGATCGTCTTACACGTGTTCAGATCGTATAAATTTAATTCTTCTCCGTACGCAAACGTATTTCTCGCGACCAACATGAATCTTTCCCGTCCACGATTATTCTTTTGTTTTATTCACGAAAAAAAAAATTCCACGAAAATATATTTCACTAATGTAACCGAAAAGTCTCGTTAAAATTTATCGACAAGGATAAAAATCGTTTCAGAGACGGATTTGAATCTTCGAGTTTCGAGCATAAACGAGGCAGATTAACTCGCGTTGAAACTTTATTCAAAATCGAGAGATATCCAAACCTTTATACTTTAAACTTTCCGAAGCCGGATATTCTCTCTGTATATCTAACTCGCAATAAACGTGTATAAATTGTATAAATCAAGCTTAAACGATTAAACGATAAAATATAAACGTATGTTTGATAGTGGTGTAACACGATCGGAGGAACGATTACAGTTTTCTCCTGCATGCTCGCGGCACATCGGTGGCTCCTTATCGCCATTGCGTTTAATACATAAAGCGTGAAGTTGGTATCTCATGCATACATTCATAGATGGCGGTGGAGAGACGGAGCCGAAACTCATAACTTACCGCGCGCGCCATCCTTCGTCTCCTTCCTCTCCCCCTCCAAGCCAAGTATCGAAATAGAAGCCGCGAAATCACCGAACGGTGACTGAGGCACGTATGATGGGCAACCGTGGCTTTTGATATGCCGTTGAAGCGAGCACGAACCGCTCAAAATTCCATTTCCCCGAGAGAATTCATTCGCTCCCTTGGCTTCATTGAAAAATAGCCCACTTACCACGCTTCGCGGCCTCTTGTTACCATAAATCAATCGCGTCTTTCCGCTCTCTCTCTCTTTCTCCACCTTCCATTTCCACTTTACGATTTTTCTTTCTTTCTTTTCCTCTTCTTCTTCTTCTTCTTCTTGCTCTTTTATCCGCTTTTATGCGGCCAACTACTATTTCGATCCGGTTTCGTAGAGGGAGTTATCAACGTTGCTTTCGAATATCTCGCGCGCGTTATAGAATTAGTTATAGGGGAAAGTTGATGAAAAAGTGATTTCCCTCGATTTTTTTTCAATTTTAACTAAGAGGGATAGAGGAATGAAAGTCCAATCGTATGAAGAGCTCGAGTTTGTACTAGTGTTTTACGAGTCGTAAAACTTCGTCGAGTCTATAGAGAGAGAAAAAAAAAAAAAAAAATTCATTTTCCAAAAATCGGAATCGACTAAAAAACCTATCCAAATTTATTACCCTTTCGGTTCGAAAGGGAAAAAACTGTCGAAACGATCATCGATCCTTCTTTCCTTTCACCTCTTTCCGTAAAAAATGAATTAAGGATATAATAGACTGATCCGAATTAATCATTGAAAATTAGGGGTACAATAGACTGATTAAGATTTGGCATTGAATAATAGGTGAGCCCTCGAGAGTATTCAAAAGTAACATCGGTCGACGATCCATTACTCTTATTATTCGCTTTACTCCTTAAAGAGATTGCTTATACACGAAACCGCAACTATTCGTATATTTTTTTCTCGGGTTGACCCGTCGCACGATCCGTCAATTAAATTTAAAATTCTTTCATCAAAAAAAAAAAAAAATGGTGTATTCTCCGTTTCTGATTTCAGATCGTCGAGTAACGTGCCAAACTGTCGTCGCAAAAGTGATTGATTCTCTGATGGCAGCACGGAAACTTGCAGCCCTCTTCACCGCAGTTCTGCATCTTTGTTTATGTGAGTGAGTTTTTATCCTTTCAATAATTCATCATTATTCTCTCTCTCTCTCT